CTTGCTAGCTGACATCTCCGTCCTGAAGGTTTTCAGAATGCACGGTTAGAAATGGGAGAACCAGTTTGCTGTTTTCTCCTTTTGCCAAAGTTTGGTTGAAAACTAATAAATGTCTGTGGTTCTTTATATGTAGGTTGAGAAAATACCGATAATTCCATAGAAATGTTCTGTTCTCATAGTTATGCTTGGCTTTTCATTTTCTAACTGAGCCATAATGACCCGGTGTTATGGATCAACTGGTGGAAAAGACAGATATTTCTGTGGGCGTGGCTTTTTAGGACCCCTTTACCGAACCAGGAAGTAAACAGATAAACTTAAAGAACTACAAATCTTTGCAAAAATATAATCCGAAACACCCAATAAGATCTCGACAATAACTCATCAGAAAGACTTTTATTGGTCTAATATGGTATGATGCCTTTTTTATATATAAATCTGCAATTATTTGCAGATTTAAAATTATGCAGAACTTGTCCTGATTTACGTTTTGCTTCAGAGGCTGAAACTCTTCAAAGAATCGAAACAGATCTGAAAGCAAAGATTAATCCCTGAAAGCTGCCATAATTATTGAAGAGCCTTGATATTAAACATAAAGTGTTTAAAAAGATCGACTGGCTGCTGTTTTCCACATCTCATGTTCTATATTTCAATTAAATATCCACAGAAACAATAACGACATATTTTAAACACTGTTTTGATACGACATATGTGGGGCCGCGATACGAGGAGCCGCATTAACGGTGATGGAATAATAATAATAATAATAAATAGATATTTTATTGGGTTTAGAACAAAAGGGGCCAAATGCATGGAGGCAGTGACTAAATCACTGCCTCCATGCATTTGGCCCCAATAAAGGACATTATAAATAAATATTTCCAACCATTGTTGAATAAATAAACTTACAGGTGGAGAGAAAAACTCAGCTATGAAAAGATTAAAATAAATAATTTATGTGGGCTAAAAAAACAAAGATATGAAAAACTTACAGACTGAGTTCAGTTCGTCTTCAACCAGCTTTCGGCTCATGAGTCCGTTACTATGGAGACGGAGCTAAAGCCTGCAGTTTGTCCCGTCCGCCACCAGGAGGAGACAGCGGGCATCTCCATTTAAATATTATTATATTTAGACGTTAGAATTATTAAGAACTAAAACAACAAAAAACATTTTTACATTCAATAAACATAAAATTTAGATACACAAAAACAACGACTAGAGTAACAAGTCAAAAATATAATTATAATTTTTCTAACTTATTTTTAAAATATAACTTTGTTTAAGAACTGATTTCCTTTAGGCTTAGGGCCTGAACAGGTGTGGTCCAGGTGATTCTGGTTGACATCCAGATGTTCCAGCAGAAAGCCAGAACCGGGTCGGTCTGATCTGTGGGTCTCTGGTTGCTATGAACAGATAAACTCTGTAAAGGTTCAGTTCATTTCCTGTTCTGATTCATTAGTTCTTCTTTTCTCTGGTCCTCTGAACATTGTGGACCCGACTGATCCACCATCAGTGGTTCTGGTCTGAACCATCCTGGATCCGTTTCTCCATCCTTCAGATCAGCTTCAGCTCCTGTTCCTCCTTCTTACCCCCTGGTTTCTCCTTCTTACCCCCTGGTTTCTCCTTCTTACCCCCTGGTTTCTCCTTCTTACCCCCTGGTTTCTCCCCAGATGCCCCCTCTGGCCTGGTGATTTACCCCAGAGACGAAGTGGAGCTGGGAGAGAAGAACACCCTGATCTGTCACGTCTCTGGTTTCTATCCGGCTCCGGTCAACGTCTCCTGGACCAGAAACGGTCAGAAAGTGACTGAAGGAACCAGCATCAACATTCCCTTCCCCAGTAAGGACAGCAGCTTCACCCAGATCTCCAGGCTGCAGTTCGTCCCTCAGCTAGGAGACATCTACAGCTGCTCAGTGGAGCATCTGGCCCTGAAAGAACCACTGACCAGGACCTGGGGTGAGGAGACTTTGACTAGACCGGAAGCCTGAATAGGAACCATTAGTTAAATGATTAACCTGATTAAACCTGATTGAATCAAACATCCTGATGTTTCTTGTCTCTCCAGATGTGGAGATGGACAATCCTCAGTCTGGTCCCGGTCCGTCCATCTTCTGTGGAGTCGGTCTGACCATCGGCCTGCTGGGAGTCGCTGTGGGAACTTTCTTCCTGATCAAAGGGAACGAGTGCAGCTGATTGGTTGATGATCAGTGATTCATGTTCAAACTGTTTTTTTTTTCATTCTTCTTCACTTTAATCAGTTTTTCTTCATCATTGATGTACCTTTAATATAAACTGTTGTGAAAGTTTAAAGTTGACTTTAAATCCTTTAATTCATAGAAAACTGCAACATTAAACTATTAACTGATGTTTTTATCTAACAGAATAAAACCTGCAGTCAGTTTGTTTCAGTTAATAAATGATTAATTGTTTCTACAGTTTCCTGTCCTTCATCCAGTCCAGCTGGTTTCTGTGTTTCCATCAGTAGATCATAAAGCCGATCCTCTGGTTCCATCATCTGTTCTCTATAATAACTTTAATGCAAACTGGAGTTTATTTTATTATAAATTAACTCAGCAGAGTTTCCTGCTCTGCATGTTTCTAGTTTTCTCCATGAGTCTCCAGGCTGATGGAGCATCGATTCACTCCAACCGCCTCCACAGGAAGTCAGGACAGCAGCTTCCTCTGGTGGAGGAAACCTGGTCAGTTTGGTGCCATGGTGTCCTGGGGTCACGGTGTGGTGACCTTTGACCTGCAGCAGCAGGTCTGGAGCTGCAGTGAAGAGCAACAGAGCTGATGGATGGTTGTCCTCAGCCTGAATGATGAACAGCTGGATGGTTCACTGGTTCTGCCCCAGTGTCCCCAGTAGCTGCAGTAGCTCCAGTAGCCGTAGCCTCCTGGTGTCACTACAGTGAACTGAGGCTCAGAGGCTGTGAGATGTGAGGATCTGTGGTCATTTCCAGATGTGAAGCTGCTGGTTTTTGGGTTCAGTGATGAAACGTTCAGATCTTTTCAGCCTCTTTCCTTCTAACTCATTTTTCATCTACAGCCTCATATTTCTGCATAACTTTATAATAATCCATATTCCTCTTTACTTTGTGTTTGTTCTGACAATGTGAACCTGAATCCAGCAGAAGTTTCACTGCAGAATATTTCATAAAAGTTGTTTAATTTAAACATTTTAAATCTCTTCTGGAAAAATACTGTGACATGTAGCCGCTCCCAGTGGGCGGGGCTTGTTGCTCCAACGCCTGAATCAGATGCTGACATCTGATTGGCTGATAGATGATGAGCCTGGTGTCACCATGGCTGATTTATCAATATACTTCATGTTTACCACTGCCACAGTTTTTATTTATTGACATTAACAAACACATTCATGTCAGATATTAATTTAATTCCTTATTTCATTTAAACACAATGATTATTAAATTGTGTTTTTCTGACATTAGAATATAGAAAAGGTTTTAACATATTTGTGATGTAAATAAAACTGGTGATCATGAACAGCAGGAAGTGATGGAGAAAAACCGACCTGAGATGAGAACTGATTGATATATGACTGATAACCAAAGAGACCAGATTAACCTGCAGAGGAACTAAAGGTCAACTCAGAGGTCAGAGGTCAGGGTAGATCAGTAACCATGTAGAAAAGCTGGTAGAAAACTTCTAATATTTCTGCTCCTGTTAAAGTGAAGGTTGTGTCTGAAAGTTCATCAGTGGTGGCTGAATGTCTGTATATATATTATTTTTAAAATATTCATATTAAATCTGATACAGAAACTATGTGATATGTCACTGAAACTAGAAGTTACTGTTTCTAAGCTAGCTGTGGTAGGTAACACAGGAAGTGACCTTATTGCTGCCACTGATCTCAGGGCTGCTGACATTTAGCCTCATTGTTTACACCAGAGATCAGCTGATCGATCAGCTGATCGATCAGCTGATCCGACATTAGAAAGATCAGAAGCTTCTGTCTGTTCATCACCACAGGAAGTCAGACGCCCCCTGCTGGAGCAGCTGGGTAACATCTGGGCAGAGCCACCATGGTCATGTGACACTAGACACACCCACTCTGGTTCAGAGAACCAATCAGAATAAACCTGGTTTATCAATCAGAGAGCAGCTGGTGATGATGTCATCAGTTACCAGGTGGAGGACAGAGTCCCAGTGTTACAGTCTGCTGCTGCTGAAAACATCTGGAGAGGAACCAATCAGAGGGCCAGCTGTCAGTGAGTCATCATGATGATCTGTAGGAGAACCAATCAGGATCCATCATCTGGATCTGATCCTAACAACCCAAAGCAGCTCCAGGTTCTGGTTCCCATCAGGTTCTCTAAGTATCTGCTGACCAAATAAACCTGTAAGGTGAGAAAAAACACAACCAGTAAATTTCACTGGTTTATAGTTTCCTCTTTATCTCCAGCAGCTGAAGGTCAGAGGTCATGTTTACTGATCACATGATCTCAGTTCAGCCTGACACGATAAACATGATGATGTCATTAAATCACATTTATGATTCAGATTCAGTTTAAAATACTTTATTGATCCTGAAGGGAAAATAAAGGAGCAGAGATCAGATTATTGAACATTAATAATTAATGATGTTTTAACCTTTTAACCTCTACAGACTATCAGCCTCCAGGCTGTTGGACCTTCAGAACCAGCAGAACCTCAGCAGAATGAACTTCCTGTTGATCAGCAGCAGGTTGACCTGCAGGCTGACCTGAACCCTTTAGGGTCTACAGGTGAACTGAGGTTAAGGAAATGAACGGAGTCGATGGAGAAAAACCCTCAGACATGACGTCTCTGTGTTTAACTTGACCTGCTCCAATCAGAGAGCAGCTGCTGATGACTCATCAGTTGCTAGGAAGCAACTGTTAGAGTTTCCCAGCATAGGAAGCAGGCAGCAGCGCCCCCTGCTGGGAGGATCTATGGAATCATTTATGTGTTAAACTTTAAATGTTCCAGATTAAAGTTTCAGCTTCTCTGTTTCTGTCAGAGTGAAGGAGAAACAGGTCAGTTTATCTATTTTATAGAAAAACTCATTAAAATTAAAATGATCTTAATGAGTTTTTCTAAAATATTTCAGGTAAATAAGAAACCAAACAGAACCAGCTGAACTGGACCTGGGAACCTGGATCAGAACATTTAGAGGTGAACTATGAACATGAACCAGTTCATTAGAACCTGAACTGGTTCTGGTTCAGGGGAACTGGACCAGAACAGACAGTTCACAGAACTGGGTCAGGAGAACCCAGGACTAACAGAACCTCAGACCAGAACCGGTCCATTACAGAACTGATTAATGTTTTTATTCTTGGACCCAGCAGAACTCGTCCTCTGGTTCTGGTTCTGTAGAACAGCTTCAGGGTTCTCCAGTCCAATCAGAACCGCTCCTGTCCAGAACCTCAGCTTGGACCCGGTCAGCCTCTGTTTACTGATCTGTTAATAAAGTTAACTGGTAAACACTCTGCTGACCTTTGACCTCTGAACAGCCAATCACAGCAGGTCGAGCCGGGTCACCCTCCAGAACTCAGCCCAACCCGATCAGAGCAGTTCTGGTTCTGATCAGGGAGCAGCCGGGTCCAAACTGAAGGTAAGAACTGAGATGATTCAGGTTAAAACAGGAGGAGAATGTTTCCCCCTGCTGGACAGGAGGAGGAACTGCTGCTGCTGGGAGGGCAGACCAGAACCAGAACCAGAACCGGTCAGACTGGACCCTGACAGTCTGATTGGTTCTGTAGACGCAGAGCTGAACCGGATCAGAACCGTGCTGGTCCAGCTGTGAGGTCAGATTATAATAATCCTAAATTCTACCAAATAATCTGAATCTGAACAGATTATTGGGTCATTAAGAGAACCAGCAGAACCAGAACCGGGTTTGTCTCATCAGCTGCTGATTGATGATCTATAGACTTTTGATAGGTATTTTTGAACCTTCATTAAAAGAACCACAGACAACGTATATGAATTTTATGGCGAAGCTTTTGCAAAAGGAGAAGTCTCAGCAAACTGCTCCTCTGAGCCGTTCACTGAGCGTCTGAAGACCTTTGATTACAGCTTGTCTTTTATTATCAAGTAAAAACAGGGAGGATAAGTAAGGAAGACAGCAGAGACAATATTTTACTGCACACAGACAGTTTCTAATGTAGGGAGTATTCTGGTTGATAAGGAGGCTCCTGTGGAAACATAATTCAAGGTCTGGGAAACACAGATAACTGTTTCACATGAAGACGAACAGGCAGATGGGCCTACAGGTCAGTTTATACACACATAAGGAAGAGAACACTTTAAACTGAAAATCACAATAATCTATAACAACATAATATTGGGTTAATGATCTAAAGTACTAATAAATGTTGAATGTTATAAATGTAAGAATGATAACAACACAGAAAAATCCTAACAACTTTTATAATAGAACTGTTAATGATGAATCGTGTTCTGATCTCTACCTGATCTAGATCTATTCTCCAGGTTCTACTTGATGTTAGAGATAAAAACCTGATCAATAATCAATATCAGCCGTTTCCTTTTCTCTACTAGAACAGGTTACATTAACCTGGTGACCTTATGACCTGTGACCTCCTGCTGACAGAATCAGATAATCTATGATTATTGATCTAACATAAAGACCATCAGCAGACAGATCAGAACCGCCTGAACCGGGTCCAGATCACCAGAACCTCTTTAGGCTGAAGCTGCAGCTGTCAGCCAATCAGGGCTCAGCCTCAGGATGATGTCATCATGAAGAAGGAGAGATTAAATCTCCTGTCCTGAACTTTGACCTCAGCCAGCTGACCATGTGCTTCTCAGTGTCCAATCAGAGGACAGACAGGTGTCACCTGGACAGACTGGACCAGGTGTGTCAGAACCAGAACCAGATGGAGAAACTTTTACTGATTTGGTTCAGATCCGACCCACAGCATGACGGAGCAGCAGACTGAGACAGATTCATGGTTGACCTTTGACCCCTACATGATTCACCAGACTGTCCACCAGGTGAAACATGGAGGACCTGATCAGAACCTTCTGTTCTGTTCTCTCCCTGCAGTGCATCATGGGAACTCTGACGGCTCACCTGACCCAGGTAATTCCCTGCAGAGGTTAGCCCCGCCCTCTCTGTCCTGTAACCATGGTAACATCTCTCTCTAGTCTGATGATGAAGCTGCAGCCCAGAGGGAGGAGCTTAGCATGGAGGAGGCGGGGCCTGTCGGTGACGTCACAGGGTGGATGCTGAGGCTTCTCCATGGTAACAGGAGAGGCTGTGTGCTGATAGGTGTGTGTGGGGGCGTGGCCTTTACTGCAGGTAAGACCACAGAGATCACCTGGTCAGAGCAACACCTGGTCATGTGACTGACATGTTATCCTCTACCAGCGTTCCTATTGGCCCTCGCTGTGCTCAGTGGGAGGGGCCTCTGCTCCCAAAGGGCG